TATATGAGAGCTCATGGTACCTGCCTTGAAACATGGGTTTCACTAATGCTAGTGGCTCACACTTCCCATTGAACAAGACTAGGGGTAGGAAGGCTCTTTGAGGGACACAGCTATGGAACCATAGGTGCCGCATAGTAAGCCAAATTTTCATTTGCTGTATTGTTGTGAAAAACCTTATTAAAAGAGCTTCCAAAGAGAGTACTTGATTAATAATGCAGTTCATATCTATAGAAATAATTTGCTTTTCAAAAAAGTCCTCATGTGTTACAGTTGAATTCACATTAAATTAATGTTACTCATTTTGAATGATCTGTGAAGTATTTTAAGAGAGATCTGGGAAAGTAAATCGATAAGTAGTTTAACATAAATCAAGGTGCAGTTAATTTTTCTCAGTTAGAAATATATTACAAAGATCCTGCCATTTGCAACAACATGAAATAACCTGGAGGAAATTATGCTGAGTAAAATAAGCCAGACATAGAAAGATGCATATTGCTGATCTCCCTCATATATGGAATCTAGGAAAGTAGAATTCATAGATACATAATAGAAGAGTGGTCACCAGCATCTTGGGGGTGGGGGACACGGGGAAATGTTAGAGGGTGACAACTTGCAGTTACAAGGTGAATATGCTCTGGAGACCTAACGTATAGTACAGCATAGTTACTCAATAGTATACTCACGACACCCTCCCACCCCCCGACACACACAGTAACTCTCTGAGGTATGGGTATGTTAATTAGCTTGATCATGGTAATCATTTCACAGTGTATACATATACCAAAACATCACTTTGTATAACTTATATATGTACAATATTTATCAATCATACTTCAATAAAGCTGGAAAAATGCATGAATATTATGTGTGTGTGTGTGTGTGTGTGTGTATGTATGTATGTCAAAGATTATAGCAGATTATAGCTCTTTGACAAAGAATAACATTTCAGCTCAGTTCTGACTAAGGCCAAACAAAAGGTGATAGCATGTTTTAGTTCCTTAAATGTGAATTTGAGGAGTCAAGAAATCTCCAAGTGTAGGAAAACCTCAGTGCCAAAAAGTGTAGAATATGAAAGAATCACAAAAATAGCATGCACAAAATAGCCTGCTATGATGTTCAAAGCATAAGAGCTAGTAATTATTAACCAACATTTAGAATATAATGTGGCAGAACATATTTGGAACACATTTATCTGTTAATATTTCCAAGGAGAGATAAACGCAAATAAGATTTTCTTTAACGTTAATTGTTCTTTAGTTTGAAAAACGCATATACTCATATTTTTGTCATCTGATTTTAACCAGCAAAAAGCAATAGTTGCCAAACCAAAGTCAAGTGAAGCTGTGAAAATAATTAATGAAACAAGTCTGGTAAAAAGCATCTTTATCCTTCATACATGTTATAGGCAGGATTGTGGTTGTGTCTGTGTGAGTGTGGTGGGGTCAGTCGGGGGATAGGAAAGTTAGTTTATTCACATGATTCTCAGTGTAGATATACCTTGCAAATAATTGTGCAATTCCCTGCTTTGCAGACAAAATGTCTTTGAATCAATGTCTTTTATAAATACACTATACAAAAAAAATAACTATAAACCTTTAAAGCATTTATGCACTTTAAATTGAATTTAAAGTATTAAACACTTTAATATTCAGAGCTAGAAGAGAAACTTCAGTAAGGAGAAATGCTTTGGAGATTAAAATGTAAAGGAGATAACCAAATTTTACTAAACCTTCTGTCCATCATGACCGCATTTCCTTTCATTCTAAAATAACAATATTTTGAAAATTTTGACCCCCCCCCCCATTTTTACATGAGAAATTTTAAATGCCAAGAACTTGCTCCTCACTTTTGAAGCAGGGTGCTTTCTTTAGGAACCAGTCTGTATCACATGCATTCTATTGGTTTGTATTTTATTATTTTTATTATATATCATTCTGTTACATTTTAAAATGCATTTCTGAGCCCATGTCATTGATTTCATGATTCATTAATGGGTTGCAAGCAGCAGTTGGAATAGCACTGGTTTAGGTAGTGGCAGTATAAATCACATGTTGGTAAAGTGAAAGATGTCTTCCTACCAACACGGTATAATGACCACTTGATGCCAACGTGGCAGTGTGTTACTTAAACCATATATCAATCAACATTGAAGCAACGTGACCAAAATGGTTGTGCCATCATTTATAGAAGAAGATTGTGAGTTTCATGCAGCCAGGAATAATTGCATTGCTATTATAGAACTTAACATAAGTTGTAACTTATTTGATGGAAGGACACTAACAATCAAGAGGATATAAATTTTAAAAACAATGATACTGTTTTGGACCATTGATAAGTACTGACTGTCTGCATTTTATCTAGAACAATATATGTTCATGATTAACCAAGAAAATATTGACAAAAATGTGCAATGAGTAGAGACTTGCCCTTGAAATTCCCTAAAATTAGTAGGAAGGTACAATGTTCTCCAGGAAATATTGGTAAGTGAAAAAACAAGGTTTACAATAGTATGTAAGGGATGCTATCATCTGTGTAACAAAATGAGAAAAAACATATATACAATTTTTTGGCAAGAAGATACCCTGAAAATATAAACCAAAAAGCTAAAAAAAGAAACTTGCTGATGATACAGAACTTCTCTGACTGTATATTTTTCTCATAGTCTTAACTCTTATAATTACATCCATGTTTGACATTTTCAAAAGTAAAAGCACAAAAGTACATAATATATTCAGGATAAAACAAATGACAGTTTATATGAAGACGGTTAGAAGCCAAGGTTTTCATGGAAGTTATTAGTACGAAGTCAAGGTAGTACATTAAAATCCAGTAATGTTAATTGGATTTGGAGGCAACAGTATGAAATGTTTTCTCTAAAAATATACACAAGAATCTCTTGCTTGAGATCAGTAATCTATTCCCAAAAATAGATATTGAGAGCACGTTTCTGTTGTTCTAAATGGTAACAATTATAGTGAGTGGAAGGTAAACCAAAACATAGCTATTTCTTGTAGAATAATTGATACCTAATAACGCCTGTAGAAAAGTGACAAACTATCTTGATAAAATCTAAATTGTATATTGTTTCCTAATCATCCAGCAATTATTGCTGTTACTAACATACAGTTGCTTTGTATCTAGTTATATGGACTGTGTGTGTGCTGTACGAGAAATTGTTACTTTATGGCATAGCATAGCAAGTAACACAGCAATCAAAAAGTTAAAAGTCAAAATTTAAATAAAAGACCCATAATACACTGTTTTTCACCATGCTAAAGGAGACATGACTCTTGAAGAAACTCAAGAAGGGACAAAGAAGGGTCAAATCAGTCATTGCTGTTTGCAGAAGGTGATGGGTGGATGGAGGACAAGCGGACAATCTTAGACAAACTGTCATATTAAGAGGAATGAAGAGACCTTCCCTATGTCTAGTAGATGCTATAGTGACTGCTGGACAGGAAAGCTTTGGTCAATCTTCAGAAATGATGTTCAAGCTGAAGGAAGATGTTGAAGCTGCATTTTGGTTGTAAAATGCAGGTTTGCTTGTTTTTCTATTGAAAAATTCCTTCATGTGATGCTGTAAGAGTTATCAGGCTATTATTAAAAGAAAGATGTATTGTCACACTGAGTATGACTACAAAACTTTCTTAGCAAATGGCCTGTTTGTTTATACTCAATGCACATGTTAAGATGGCTACATAGGATTCTTACTCTGTTCTAAAATCAGTTTGGAATGTAACTCAACATTCTTCCAGCACATAAAGTTGTTTACAATATTATAGAGTGTGAAAGACGTAAATAAATACTTCCATTTGATGTCTACACCAACATTAGATGAAAAAATGAGGTAGTGAGAAGTTGGTATGTATTCTGTAAATTAGGATATTTAAAACCAAAAATCCTTCTACTGGGTAAACATTAACTAGGAAAACATTCTACAGGATATACATGCATTTTTCTAGCTCTGCCCCCTGAAAAGATCTAGTAGTAATGTGATGTGATGGCACTAAACACTTCCGATTTCAAATGATAGCCTCTAAAACACTGTTTTCCAACAAAAAGAATTAGGGCTTCTGAAGAAATGGATGATTCCAGGTGTGGAGGAGAAAATGAGCAAGCTGAGCTTGTGATATATGTTCACCCCAGAGAGGGCTCACGTCACGTAGGCACCAACAGAGAGGGGTCTCAGGTAGCAACAATGGGGCCATTGGACCATCAAAGGAGCAATTGGTGTACTTGATTGAAGCCTGTAGGTTCATAATTTTTACTAAAAGAAGGAAGGAAGTAGGGAAGAAAGGGGAAAGGAGGGGAAGCAAATGAAGAAAGGAGGGAGGCAAGGAAGGAAGTAAAGAGCTAGAACAACAACAAAACAAAATATCTTTGATAACTTTTTGGTGGAGTACAGAGTGGAAATTTTGCATTACTGGAGCCTTTACAACATGGGGATCTGTGATTCAGAAATAAGTCAGTAAAGATACATTTTACACAGATGTTCCATCCAGCATTGCTTGGAAAAGCCAAAATTGGAAATGATGTAGATAGTTACCTAAGAGATAAATAAAATAAATAATGATACATCGTTTGTATGGAATATTACATAGCCACCAAAAATAATGGAGCAGAACTCTATTCAATGACTTACAAAATTGTCCATGAGATATTGTATAATGGAAAAAAGAAATTTCAAAGTAAAAGGTCTTACCTTATATATTTCACAAGCTAAAACCCTATATGATTATACAAATCCACATGTTTGCCTTAAAAAGATAAAATCTGGTGTCCTATATGACCATACCACAAATAGTGATCACCTCTGGGGTTGGAATTTGATAGCAGTTGTAGGTAGAGATAGTTTGGAAGAAAACATTCACATTTTATTTCATAATTCTGATGTTTTTAAAGCTTTTTTATAAGCATTATTTTGATACATATGTGAGCAGAGATGGTCCCTTCTAGGTACCAGTCACACCATTGCTAAACCTCACCTGTTTCTTCCAAAGGTGCCAGGTGGCAAACAGGACTTGCCCCACCAATTACATGTGGAATAATCACATCTGCAGATGCCTGGCTCAGGAAGATTTTATGTTTTCCTCGGATGCTGGAGATGGTAAGCAGAATGATATTTTAAAGACTAAATGCCAAGGGTCTATATTGTGATTAACATATTCTACTATTAAAACCACATGTACAATATTCATCATTCTTTGAAATAAGTGACTAAAGAATAGTACATTTTCTACTTCGCATTGGTATTATTTTGAACTCCTTTGTAAAGGAACATACTCATGTTTGTACACAATCCTTTGAGGGAAAACATACAAAGGAAGATGCTTTTAGAAGCTTTTGTTTCATGCCACACCCAGAACCAAGTAAGGTATAGTAAAGATGCTCTGACTGTTTGTCTAGACTCAACAGATGGATTCCATGACATCTGTGGACCAAACAAGGAACTGGATGAAGAGACCTGTCAGTGTGTCTGCAGAGCGGGGCTTCGGCCTGCCAGCTGTGGACCCCACAAAGAACTAGACAGAAACTCATGCCGGTGTGTCTGTAAAAACAAACTCTTCCCCAGCCAATGTGGGGCCAACCGAGAATTTGATGACAACACGTGCCAGTGTGTATGTAAAAGAACCTGCCCCAGAAATCTACCCCTAAATCCTGGAAAATGTGCCTGTGAATGTACAGAAAGTCCACAGAAATGCTTGTTAAAAGGAAAGAAGTTCCAGCACCAAACATGCAGGTAAGAGATCCTCATGAAGAGTTTTAATTTCTCTTACTAGAAATATGTTCTAAACTAAAAGCAGTTTTCTTAACCAAAGTAGCAATTGCTTGTTAGAATGAGGCCAATAAGTTCTGAAAGATAAAATCTTATTTTTTTTAACCAAATCTTATTTTTTTTTTAACCAATGCATGAGACTGAATTTGATTCCAAAAAAGCAAGATGGGAGCCTTGAGGATCAAAACTAAATCCAAGTTCTGAATATACTCTAGATTAGTGGCTCCTGTGGGATGTTTTCAAAATACATCCAGGCAATCCACTGTACCCCCACCAAAAAGTATAATGCTTTCAGACATAATTTAGGACAACTGTTCTAAATGCAGACAATTTTTATGCAAAACTTACAAACAAAGGATAGGATAGTACCATTGACTATAGAATTATACCTGGAAATGAAAAGATTTAAGCTAAGTATTTGATAGAATTAGAGAACTAAATGAATATATTGTTAAAGGTACCCAAGCTTCATTTCTTAAACTTGGTTTTGCACTCTTCTCCACCAAGAAAAAAAAAAAATGAAGTTACTGGACTCAAGCACATTCAATGTTTATCCCTGAATCTCTTCCTCTTTAATCTCAGAGAATAAGGTGATCCTACTATTTAAGCCAGACCTGTGCATTTGACATTTTCTCCACATTCCTTCAACACTGCTTCATGCCATTCCTTCTTTCTTCTGTAACTTTAACATCTTCAGCTCTACTTTTTCCCCCTCAGTCTATAAAAGTTCCCAAATTTCTTCTATTTTATTAGCCTGTTACTGTGAAGCTGGGCATACTTTAGCAACCCAGCTCTGTCGTCTTCAGAGCTGCTCAAAAATGAGGCATTTGTTTTCACCTCTTTCATCTACCATGTATTCAACCAACTACAACCTGGTTTATGGCCTACAGTGCTATGTTAAACCTCTGTTTAAAGTTTCATTGGCCTCACAGTTGCCAAATCCAACAGAGAATTTTGTCCTTAGGTAACCTGTCCTTTCCGTGGCCTTTTTCTTCCAGCTCACCTCTTCTGTGACGTGACATTGTACTTTGCTAGTTGTATACTAAATTTTCAGAGCATTGGTTCTTAATCACTTTCACTCTTTTACATCCACTCTTTACATATGGGAAGATAATGTTCTTTTTAGCAAAAAAAGCTCGTATTCCATTTATTTACTACTATCTTCACTAATGTTCATTATTGGTTTTCCACAGTATATAACAAGTTCATCGTTTTATTCTCAAGAGTTTTGTGTCTTTATTGTAATGTACGTTTTTGATGATTTTCCTCAACTAATATTTCAGCTACTGCATAAAAAGGCTTTAGTGAATCTAGCTTTCTCATTGATTATATTTTTCTTCCCTTATACTGCAAAGTACATCGTAAGTATCATTTTATTTTGAGAAAGAACTATATTCCAATTTTACCTACATATTCCTACTGTAATAACCAAAAAGATATTTGAAAAATGTATATGCTAGTATTTTCAGAAGGATACAGACACTCAATCTTTTTAAGCCTTATTAAACTATGTTTTATATTGAATTCTTGAGTGAGTTTAGTATACATTGAAAAACCTGAAATTCCTATGTCTGCCTACAGACTAACCAGCCGTCATACTTTTCTACAGAATTCTTATATGAACACAGACAACATTTCTATCATTGCATTTCTCCTAATAGTATACATTCTTTCAAAAAGGCTTTCCGTTTACTGCAACTCATCCTATGTTCATTTTTCTAAGTGTGTAATTCCAGACTTTGTGACATAAATTAGAGCAAAAGAGAAAATATCATATTTTGAAAATTTATGTTCTCCTCATTCTCTCTTAATATTTATTACAAAGTGCAGTGGGCAGAGTATATATTCTTTGGTTCATTGCCTTAATTAACAGCTTTTATGGATCATTAAGTATCATATCCCTTTTTAGTAGAGGAATACCAGTAGTCACAACTATGAATTCGTATTTGCAAAGTTTAAGAAAATTAACTAGACATGCTTTCTTTTCTAGAGCCAAATAAATGAAATATCAAAACCAAATTGTGTAGGGATTTTTGTAGCACACTTTCGATTTCCCCTCAGGTCATCTTGCACGTTTCCCTTTACACCTATTCCCGCACATTAGGCATGCTCATACTCCAAAAAGTTTTTCAAAAATAGCTCCAATTCTCACCAGGCGTGTTGACTCACACCTGTAATCCTAGCACTTTGGGAGGCCAAGGCGGGCAGATCACTTGAGGCCAGGAGTTCAAGACCAGCCCAGCCAACATGGCAAAATCTTGGCTCTACAAAAAATACAGAAACTTAGCCAGGCATGGCCGCACATGCCTGTAATCCCAGCTACTCAAGAGGCTGAGACACAAGAATGACTTGAGCCCAGGAGGCGGAGGTTGCAGTAAGCCGAGATCGCACCACTGCATTCCAGCCTGGGCAACAGAATGAGACTCTATTTCAAAAACTGAGGTCTCAATTCACTGGAGCAACGGGACAGGGGACAGATTGACTAGTTGGTGATTTGTCTTCTCTCTGCTACTAGAACCCGGAAGTCTAGGATGGGAGGAAGGGGACCCTACTGCTGAGTATTGTCCCTCTTACCTCCCTGCCCCAGAATGCCTCTGTTTCACCTGGAGCCCAGGTGGAAAGGAAGAGTTAGCCACCATCATGCAGCCAGCTGCCAAGTAGAGACACAAGAGTGAGGGTGGGGCTGCTCACTGAGGACCACAGTTCTGCCAACATGGCTGGTTTAATTGCCTGGAAGTCTGGGTCCCATACAAGTCCCAGACTCATGTGAATTCAGCCATGCTTATGTGATCACAGTAAGTCAGCAGACCTTCAATGTTCACTTTCAAAATTTCTGTTTTATGTTTCTTTCATCCATGAAGCAAAGAGCACTTCAAAGGAACTAATGCTTACAATACCTCATCCTTCCTTCCATTTGTTATATCACCAAGCAAGACTTTTATTTTAAGGCCTTTCCATTCCTCTGAAATGTTGTAATTCTAAGCAGAAACAAACTTTTATACATCTATGAACAATTGCATCATAAAATTAGTAATTTTGTTCTAGTCTGAAATATAAAAACACTGAAATACCTTGGTAGCATAATGAATCCACTGCCTTGATCTTTAACATAAGTGTGTTCTTGTTTGTTCTCCTAGCTGTTACAGACGGCCATGTACGAACCGCCAGAAGCCTTGTGAGCCAGGATTTTCATATAGTGAAGAAGTGTGTCGTTGTGTCCCTTCATATTGGAAAAGACCACATGTGAGCTAAGACTGTACTGTTTTCCAGTTCATCGATTTTCTATTATGGAAAACTGTTGCCACAGTAGAACTGTCTGTGAACAGAGAGACCCTTGTGGGTCCGTGCTAACAAAGACAAAAGTCTGCGTTTCCTGAACCGTGTGGATAACTGTACAGAAACGGACTGGAGCTCATCTGCAAAAGGCCTCTTGTAAAGACTGGTTTGCTACCAATGACCAAACAGCCAAGATTTTTCTCTTGTGATTTTTTTTTTAAAGAATAACTATATAATTTATTTCCACTAAAAATATTGTTTCTGCATTCATTTTTATAGCAACAACAATTGGTAAAACTCACTGTGATCAATATTTTTATATCATTCAAAATATGTTTAAAATAAAATGAAAATTGTATTATAAGCTGCTAAGTTCAGTCCATTATCATCTTACATGATGAACGAAAACTGCTATCATGAAGACACTGATCTTTCTCTGCCCTTTCTTCTTCTCTAACCAGATGTCACATCCCATGTATTACTATGATAAAAGTATGATCCTGTGAAAGACAGTGTCAGAGGACAACAGAATGCTATTGCTTCATCTCTTATGAACATTTTAGCACAGGATACTTTTGAAGTTATAACCAAGTGAATCAATATGTAACATCTTGTAAGATAGACTGCTCAGCATTGTGATTAAAAGTCATTCAGTGCTCTGGGAACATTCAGAATCTTACCTTGGTAGAAAAGCCTGCAGTATATATTAAAGTAGCTTTAAAATATTTTCACAAAAATAATCTTTTCCAAATATTTGATTTCTTCTGGCCAGCTAAAATACTTTTTGTGAGTGGAAGTGCTTCTATCCAATACATTTATAAAAAACTAAAAATAATATTTAAATGCTCATGCAT